GACTTGGGTAAAGTAGAGAGCAGGTGCCTCATCGAAAGGGGGCAGCCTCTACTCAGCTGAAGCTGACTGCTGCCATGTGGCAATGCAGGCTAGACACAGACATATCTTCCAATAGTCAAGAGAAGCCAGGAACCTGGAATTTTATGTAAAGTTTTTATGAATTTGAATGATAGAAATAAATGCACATTAAAAAAAAATAAACCACTGTGGCAGGTCAAACAAAATATCTACAGGCTGGGTTCAGCCCTGGGCTTCATGCAATTTGGAGCCTCTGAAGCTAATTGTGTGACTCGGACCTTTGCCCTTTCTGAGCCTGTGTCCTCATCCCTCAAGTAGGCGTGGCAACCCCTCCAAGTGGGAGTCAATGGCAGGACTGGAAAGCTCAGGGCTTGTATAGTGCCTCCTGCTGTGCCTGGTACAAAGTTAGGTGCTGACCAACCTTGGTCTCATCCACCCCTTCCCCACACCGAGCATCTGCTGTGTCCCCGTGCCCCCCACCCGCCAGGGTCTTGCCTTGGCACTGTCATAGGAGGACATGGAGAGAGTTAAGACAAAGAGCTGAAATAAAGGAGCAGGCAGGAGAGCTGGAGGGACCGGGGTGCAGGGCAGGGATGGGGTTCCGCAGCTTAGTGGGGGCCCACGGAGGGGAGTCTGGGCATGAGGGGAGGGTGTGGCCAGGGCTGGATCTCAAGGAAACACTAAAGTCCTGAAAGCAAGCGTGAGCAGCAAGTCGGGGCAGACTGGGGAGAACAGAGCGCAAAGGGCTGCCTGCAAGCTCACCGATGTCATCCTCTTGGACATTTGGGTCACATGTCTCTCAAAAAGTGACAATGGCATTACCAAAGGCCCAATGTCATTATCACCATTTATAATCACTGCCACTTACACTTACTGTGTATACACACTTTAAGAGCTGGGTGTCACATGGCCCTCACAATAATAACCCCATTAGACCTGCATTACTGTGATCCCTACTCTAGAGATGAAGAAGCTGAGACTCGGAGAGGATGGGTCGCTTGCCTTTAATAGCAAAACGCATCGAGCACATTCTCTGTGCTAAGTGCCTCATGTGCGTTATTTCACACAGTCTCCAAAGATGCCCCCCACCCCTGAGACACACCTCCTGGGGTTCATGCTTTTGTGCAGCACTTTCTCCTCGACCCTGGCCCCATTACTTGCTCTTGACCATCAGAACGCAGCAGACGTGACACTGCGTGGCTTCTGAGGCAGGGTCATAAAATAAACTTGCAGCTTCCGCTTGGATCTCTTGGGACACTCTCCAGGGACCCAACCACCGTGCCTGAGAAGCCAGTCTCGCTGACAGCCGAGCTCCCAGTGCCAGCCAGCTCCGACTGCCAGCATTGTGAGGGGCCACCCTGGATGCCTAGCCCAGAGGGGCCCCAGAGGACTGGCCCCAGACAGCATCTGACTGAAACATCGTGGAACAGCCCGAAGCAGGACACCCAGCTGAGTTGGGTCAACCCACTGAACCATAAGAGATAATCACACATTTTTTATTTTAAGCCACTAAGTTTTCTGAGGACGTTTTTGATAAATCAACAGACAACTAAAGCACCACTCACAAGAGCCCCATGACGTGGAAAGTCAGGCTGTCCCCATTTTACAGCTGAGGACACTGAGGCACAGGGAGGGTGAGTGACTTGGCCAGGCCCACCGCTGGTGAAGGTCAGGGTCAGGGTCTGCTCCCAAGCTGCCTGATTCCCGAGACCGCCCCTCAACCACGCCTTTATGTTGCTCACGGTGGCCGGCAGTGCCCGTCAGGGCGAGGTTTGAACCCAGGCTGGTGGACTCCTAACCATGGAACCTTCGCCTTCCCGTGCACGTGTGGCTCTCGAAAGCTGGTCCCCAACAGCCATTGAGCTCCTCAGAAGCCCCAACCGACAAGCCCCTGCAGCCCGTTCTTCCTCTCCTGCTGGGCCAGGAGACAGAGGCTGGTGCTGTCTTGCCGTGGAGCTGGCCTCCTCCCTGGTGGGGGGCTGGGGGCAGAATTTTGACAAATGGCCACACACATATTAAACAAGAGAGATGACACTGCACAGCCCTGGCAAGGCCCCCAGATGCGAGGGATGAAAAATGGGGCTGATCTATCTTGCGGGCCTCAGTGACAAAGAGAAATGGATCAGACCTAATAGGGGCTGCGCACTGGACACCGGCCTTAAATAAGTCAAATGGGAATTGGGTGCCCCTTGAGAGGCTGGCCCGGGGGGGGGAGCTGAGGAGCAGGGCAGGAGGCCTGGCTCTCAGGGGAAGAAAGGTTCCCGTGGGAGACCAGCAGCCTGCGCTCCAGGCCAGGTGGAGAGCCAGGGGCTGCTGGAAAGAGAGGCACGTCGGGGGAGGGGGTCCGGAATCCTGGGCAAGTGACCCAACCTTTCTGTGCCTCAGTGTCTACATATGCAACAGGGGGTTATTGTGTGTGTTAAATTTCATGTCAATAACGATAATATTAGAAGAACTAGCGTTCCCTGAGCATTTACACGTGCCATGTGCTAAACACACATGAACTGTCTTACTATTAGCCCATCCCCTCTGAGAGGCAGAATATAGAGGTTGAGAGGGTGGGCTCCAGAGCCAGACTGCCTGGGTTCAAATCCCAGCTCTGCTGCTCACAAGCTGGATGACCCTGGACAGGTTACTTAAGTTCTCTGTGCCTCAGTTTCCCCTCCATGAACCACCTACCTCATAGCGCTGTTGTGAGGTTTCCCCACAACTGTTCTACTTAAAGGGATCAGGGTCTGTGTTGATGGGTCAAGGTCACTCTAGGGCACATGCCTTTAGCTTTAAGGGGGTGGAGCCAAGCAGCGAGTGGGAAGGGGCAGAAAAGCAGCAGGAGTCCCCACCGGTCACAATCAAAGCCTTTCTTGCTCCATTCTGACCACCTTCCCCCCAAGACGCCCTCTCACTGGCAAGTCTGCACCTGCCATTTCCCTGTCTAACACGTTATCTTATTCCCTCCTCCACCAGCTTGCCTGACCAAATTCTCCCCCGAGGACCCTCCCCAGGGGAAGCTGGGTCAGTGACCCTTTCTCTGTGCTTCCGTGGCTGGCTGTGACTCCCCCAACCCCGAGCCAACCACCCACATCATAGCATGGGTTCAGAGTACTGCTTGTCCATTGTCTTAATCCCGTTACCACACTGTCTCAGCCACTGCTGTACCCCCAGCACCTAGGAGCCCCAGCACCAGCTGCCCCCAAATAAGTGCTCACTCGGTTAATATGTGTTAAATGACTGAGTGGATAAATGCCCCTAGGCACCAGAACCGGACCTGGATGCCCTGCGTAACAGACAACTGTGGTCACTGTCTTTGCCAGTGCACATTCCTCCTTTTGAGAACACCTCGCTCCGCCCTTGCCCCACCCCCAGTTTTCCATTAGAGGACCTCTCCTCCATCTTCCTGTCCAAGAGTTTGGATGGGGCAACCCCACCCTCTGCACCACATGACTTAGGCCAGACAGTTAGAGCAGCTGAGTCTCCTCAGGGTCTAAATCATTGGTTGCAGTATGGTCACATGACTTAAGCTAACTCAGTGAAAGTCATAAACAAGATTTTGTCTGGCGATATTGGAAAGAGGCCCCAACTCTCTGCTGGTATTGCTACATTTGTAACATGTAAGCCTAGAACTGGGCTTGGTGACCACATTTGCTACCACCTGGGGAAAAGCTGCTTATGAATAAAGCCGCCACAAAGAGAATGGAGTCAGAAGTGGGGAGAGAATGACTGAGTTCCTGATCAATCACCTGACCACCTGGATCCAGCTGTGCCTGAAGCAGACATTGTGGTAGCCCACCCAGCATCCATTCCACCCACTTACCATGTGAGAGTTTTGGACTCATTCCTCGTTCCAGAGGAATGGTCCAGCTGAGCCAATGTGCTCATGAAACTCCCCCAGCCATGGTGACAATTCAGAAGAGAGAAAATGACTTAAGTTGGGCTTATCAGAGGGAGGCTTGCGACTTTAGTGAATGTTAGAGAAAGAGCTCTTTCCCCCACTGTATGTGAAGGAAGAAGCACCAGCTTCAAAGAAGCTTTCTCACCACTAGGAGGGAAGCCCACCCAGGGACAGAGGTAACATAGGGAGTGGGCAATGCTCAGGTGACCACAGAGGAAGAAAACTCAGCCCTGATGACATCAGAAACTCTGGATCAAACGTTCCCTGAAGTCCATGCCAAGCTGCACTTTCCATTTACAGGAACCAAGGTATTTCCTTATTGATTGGACTGAGGTGGGTGGGTTTTTCTGTTACAATCCATGCCCCCACCCCCAGCTGAGCCAACTGGGTTTTTCAGTTCCATGAACTAATACACACCTCCTGTTTACTTAAGCTTGGGACTCTATCACTCACAAGCCAAAGAATCTTGACGGATTCTGCCTTTCTCTTGTACACCGTGCTCCGAGGTGCTGGCCCCTACAGTCAGAACCCTTCACTAGGCTCTCAACAGCTTCCATCCCACCTTGCAGAGCAGCCTCTAAGGCAGAGGCTGGCCAACTTTATCTGTAAAGGGCCAGATGGTAAATATTTTAGGCTTAGTGGGCCATTCAGTCTCTGTCACAACCACTCAGCTCTGCCATTGTAGCGTGAAAGCAGCTGTAGACAATATGTAAACAATAAGCCTGGCTATATCCCGAGAAAACTTTATGGACACTGAAATCTGAATTTCCCGAGAAAACTTTATGGACACTGAAATCTGAATTTCCCATAATTTTCGCATGTCCCCAAATATTTTTCTTCTTTCGATTTATCTGTTCAAGCCTTTAAAAATGCAAAAACCATCCTTAGGTTGAGGGCTACATAAAAACAGGTGATGGGCTGGATTTGGCCCAGAGGCCATAGTTTGTCAACCTCAGCTCTAGGATCTCAAAGCATCTTTGGACTCTGGGCTTCCCCCCGACGCCCCACCTTCCTCTGTTTCCCAATTGGGTTGAGCTACTGAAGTTCCAGCATGCCTCGGGGCTCTGGTGTCTGAAAGTCAAAAGCCACTTACCAGAAGGACCACCCGTAGTCCCAGGAATGGGGCCTCCAGTCTTCAGGGCCGAGGCTCACGGTGACCTGGAACACCTGCGTGTACATCATGTGGGCTACCATTCCCAGGAGGCCTGTGAGGGGGGGAGCAGGACAAGGTGTCAGGAAGCAAGGTGGGGCTTTGTCTACCCACCAGGGGCCTGTTAGTGCTGGGGAGAGCATGGACCCCCAGGGAAGGACAGGCAGCAGGACTGGAACACGGAAGACCAGAGGGCGGTGGTTTTCTAAGCCTGCCAAGGAGTTTGAGTTGAGCCCGAGGGCAAAGGGAGACCCTGGAGAAATGTAAACAAGGGAGGCACAGAGTCAGATCTGCTTCTGGATGGGCAAAGTTTTTCTGTTAGGGACCAGATAAGTAAATATTTTAGGCTTTCTGGGTTTCAGCTCTACTGTGGCAGCACAAAGGAGCCACAGACAGTACATAAAGGGATGAGCATGGCCGTGTACCAATCAAACTTTATTTACAAAAGCAGGCGTTGGGCTGGATTTAGCCTGTGGGCCAGAGTTTGCTGATACCTGTGTTAGAAGGTCATTTGGGAGAAGCTGTTTAGAGAATGTTGATCAAACTGCAGGTCTTGACTCACTAGACTAGTGGATTGTGAAGTCAACTTCATGGATTGCATGGATTGCAACCAGCATTTAAAACAAACAAATACGAACTTCCCTGGTGGCGCAGTGGTTAAGAATCTGCCTGCCAATGCAGGCGACACCGGTTTGAGCCCTGGTCCGGGAAGATCCCACATGCCATGCTCCACGTGCCTAGAGCCTGTGCTCTGCAACAAGAGAAGCCACCGCAACGAGAAGCCCGCAACTAGAGAAACCTGCGCGCAGCAGCGAAGACCCAACACAGCCAAAAATAAATTAAAAAATTAATTAAAAAAAATAAACAAGAGTGGAATGGAATAGAAATCTGATACCATCAAATGTAGCAGAAGTAAATATTGTTTTGTGAAACTTTTCAGTTCTATACATGTGTGTGTCCATGCACACACGTACGTGCGTGTGTATAGTGATTGTAATATGAAATGTTTTTCCATGCTCATGTCAAAAATCTTGAAACCCACTGGCTGGGAGAACTCTGAGATTCCAAGAGATCTGAGTGGGAATCCTTTTTCACCACGTTTCCACTGTGTGGCCCTGGGCGAGGCACCTCACTCTTCTGAGCTCCAGGTCTTCCAACCCTAAGATGAGGATTATGACAAGGTGAAAAGTGGCTGAAATGAAGCAAGGCAGCCTCCATGTCTGCTGCCTAGCGGGCATGCAATTGTTACAGTTACCAGGGTTATTATGAACCTGGGGACATTGCTCGTGTGGACTATGGCATCTGGAGCCTTTGTGGGCTAACTGGCGTGGACCTAATTTTCAGATGGAGTGATACGGTATTGATGAGGAGGGAAGAGATAGACGACAAGAGGAAGGAAGGAAACCAACAATGCATGTGCACCTACTGTGTGCCAGGCACTCTGTCAGACTCGTTCACCTCCATTACAGTATTATCTTTTAATCTTCATGACAACCCTCTGAAGTAAGTATGATGATGTGGGCCATGTACCGCTGTTCAGGCTGCCCACTGCACATCTCCATACGGCTCCATTCACATCACAGTCTATGTGCACATCACTCCCTGGAGTTGAAGCAGAACCACACCTCCAAGGCTGTATATAGTAGCTCTGAATATGATTATTCCCATTTTACAGGTGAGAAAACAGAAGTTCAGAGTGGTCAAGTCTGTCCCAGGTCACAAAGGGAGTAGATGGCTTAGTTGTGACGGGGGCCCAGATCCAAATGCCCTTAAAGCCAGGGCTCTTCCCATGCTGCCTAGAATGCATCTGTCCTCCCCTTGTTGCCCCAGTCACCCTTTCCCCTGTGGAGACGAGAGAAGAGATGGAGATAAGGAGAGAAGGGGTAGAGATAAGGAAAGACAGAAGTAAAGAGGCAGTGAGGTACCGAGTCCTGAAACCCAGCCTTGCGGGCAGGTGTGAGGGCAAAGGGGGACACCCTGTGTTGTCATGGTGTGAAGGTAAATGTTTAACACCAGGTTGCCCAAAGAGGGAGAGAGGGAGAGAGAAAAAAAGCTATGATTTGTAGCGTTTGCCAATTTCCATGGTGTGAATAATCCCACCATGGCCAATTTCAAGCTACCCGTGTAATGTCACTGAAAGCGGAGTAGACAAGAGGTGTGCACAGTCGGGTCTCGGGAGCTGAGCCAGCAGGATCCAGCACACCTGTCTCCTTGCAGCCACCTGACCCCAGGCCCCACGGAGACAGAGGACTCAGAGCTGGTTGCCTATATCTCTGGGCCGGGGCCAGCCCCTCAGGGACCTCTGGCCTCAGACGACAGCTGCTCTCCAGGGCTGGCGGGGAGCACCTGAATCAGGAAATCCAGGGAGAGGGTGACGGTGACAGGTGCTGAGGCCCCCAGAGATCCCCTAAAGGCTCAGCCTTCCCCAGCTGTCTCTGCCAGGCTTAGACCCCATCCTCAGTCATACCCCAGCAGGTATGCTAGAAGCCTCTAGGGTCCCCTCTGCCTTGGCTAAGTTTGTTAGAAGGAGACAAGGGCTGAGCCACGTGGGTATCTTATTTATCTTTACTTGACACAATTCCTGGTCAACTTCCAAGAGGTACATAACAGACGTACCTTATTCTTTGGAACTGACGCATAAGATTCCCTGATAATGACACACCATGTTTTATTTGATGGTATTTAAGTCATTTCCAGCTTTTTGCTCTCTAAGCGATGCTGCAATGAACACGTTTCTACAAGTCTCTCTGTGCGGACAAGCAAGTATGTCTCCAGCGTGAACAAGAGGAATTGCCAGGTCGTAAAGCGTGTGCATTTTAAGTTTTAATCAGCGTCAGTGAACTGCTCTCCTGAGAGGTACCTGGTGGTACTTCCGCCAGCTTCGTGAGAGTCCTCACCCAAATCCTCACCGATACTTGATGTTATAAAACATGAACAATTTTGCCCATTGCATGGTAAAAAATGACACCTCAACATTGTTTTAAGTTTTATAATTTCCCTCATTACTAGTGAGCTTGGGCATTTTTCATGTTATTTATTAACCGTTGTTATTTCTTCTTCTATGACTGTGCTTGTCTGTATCCTTTGTCAAGTTCCTTTTATTAAAAATCTTTCTCCTTATCAACTGATATAAATTCTTTATGTATTCTGGATTCTAAACCTGTCTATTGTATAGACTCCAAATAGCTTACTGCTTGTCTTTCCCCCTGTACAGCACACGGGAAAAAGCACTCTTTTTTCACTAATAGATTTTATTTTATTTTTTATTTTATTTTTTTATTTGGCTTCATCAGGCCTTCCTTGTGGCATGAGGGCTCTTCGTTGTGCCGTGCGAGCTCTGTAGTTGTGGCACGCGGGCTCAGTAGCTGTGGCACACGGGCTTAGTTGCCCCGCGACATGTGGGATCTTAGTTCCCTGACCAGGGATCGAACCCACGTCCCCTGCATTGAAAGGCGGATTCTTAACTGCTGGACCAACAGGGAAGTCCCAGATTTTATTTTTTAGAGCAGTTTTAGGTTTACAGAAAATTAAGCGGAAAATACAGAGAGTTCCAGAGTTCCTAAATGCCCCCTCTCTGCCTTCACAGTTTCTCCCATGATTAACATCTTTCAACAGAGTGTATATTTGTTACAGTTGATGAGCCAATAGTGATATATTATTATTAATGAAATCCATAGTTTACATTAGGGTTCACTCTCTGTGTTGTACAGTCTATAGATTTTGACAAATGCATAGTGACATGTATCCATTATTACTGTGTCCAATAGTTATGGCCCTAAAACCCCCTGTGCTCCACTTGTTCATCCCTCCCTCTCCACTCCTTCTGAACCCCTGGTAACCACAGAGTTTTTACTGTCTCCATAGTTGGGGTGCTTTCAGAATGTCATATAGTTGGAATCACACAGTATGTAGCCTTTTCAGATTGGCTTCTCTCACTTAGCAATATGGATTTAAGGGTTCTCCCCTATCTTTTCATGGCTTGTTTGTTCTTTACCTTTTTTTTTTTGCGGTACGCGGGCCTCTCACTGCTGTGGCCTCTCTCGTCACGGAGCACAGGCTCCGGGCATGCAGGCTCAGCGGCCATGGCTCACGGGCCCAGCCGCTCCGCGGCATGTGGGATCTTCCCGGACTGGGGCATGAACCCGTGTCCCCTGCAACGGCAGGCGGACTCTCAACCACTGTGCCACCAGGGAAGCCCTGTTCTTTTCCTTTTATTGCTAAATAACATTCCACCATATGGATGCATCACTTATTGAAGGACATCTTGGTTGCTTCCAAGTTTTAGCAATTATGAGCAAAACTGCTTTTGTCATACATTTTGATATTTAATACAAATTTAGCAGTCTTTTGCTTTTTTTTTTTTTTTTAGTCTTTTGCTTCCTGTGTCTACTTTAAGAAAACCAACACCATCAACACATTATCCTATATTTTTTCTAACATACTTATAGATATTTATGTTAATTCATCTGGAATTTATCTTGGTGAATGGTGTCAAGTAAGGATCTAACTTAATTTTTTTTTTAATGAGTCGTTAATTGCTCTGAACACTTATAGAAGGGTCTGTTCTTTCCCCAGTGATTTCTGATAACACTTTTATACCACATTCCAAGCCTCACATTACACGAGTCTATTCCTAACTTTCATTTTGTGCCATGGATCTCTCTCTGCTCCTGTGACAATGCCACACTATTTTTTTGTTTTGCTGTGCCACATGGTTTGTGGGTCCTAGTTCCCTGACCAGGGATTGAACCCAGGCCCCCAGCAGTGGAAGCTCAGAGTCCTAACCACTGGACCGTCAGGGAATTCCCGCCCCCTGTTTTTTTAATCATTGTAACTTATGGTGGAGTCTGTTAGCTGGAAGGACAGGTCTCTCTTCCTTTCAGCCCATTGCTCATTCCCTCTAGAAGTGCTACCCTACCCAGAACCTTGCTCCCTCTGTGGGGCAGGACCCCTTCTTTAGCCCCACTCCAACCCCACCCACTGCCCAGTTCCCTTTCTGAAGGCTGGACTTGCTCTCCAAACCCTCAGCTGTTGTAACGGTCAGCTTCTTCCTCA